TTTTTTTTTTTGGGGTGGGGGGGGCATTTTTTTGCCTTTATTGTTATAGGACAGTGTAGATGAGACAGGAAGTGAAGTGAGCGAGAGAGGGGGATGGGATCTGGAAAGGTCCTCAAGCTGGGATTCGAACTCGGGATGCCCATAGCACAACGGCACTTACATTACAATTTTTAATTTTCAATTTAGTTATTTACATTTAATAGTATTTAAATATTATTTAATAATGTAATATATTCAGTTGTTTTTTAAACTATTTTTATTACATTCATTGTAAATTACAATATTATATTTAATAATGCATCTTATTATTTATTCTTAAGTGCTGTCAAATGATTAATCACGATTAATCGCATCCAAAATAAAAGTTTTTGTTTACATAATATTTGTATGTATGCTGTGTATATTTATTATGTATATATAAATACACACACGTATAGTATATATTTTGAAAATATTGACATGTATTTACATGTATATATTTATATTCATATAAATATATTATATATAAAAATATTTAATATATAAACAACATTTTTTTCTTAAATATATACATGCATGTGCGTGTATTTATATAAACATAATAAATATACACAGTACACACTCATATATTATGTAAACAAAAAGTTTTATTTTGGATACGATTAATCGCGATTAATCGTTTGACAGCACCGCTTCTTAATATAATTCATTTTTAAAAATGTAAAATAAATATATACAATTTTATTCGAAAAACCCGTTGGATTTTTAAATTGATAGTATCTACATATGTTAGAGCAAAATTAAATTGTTTGCAATTTTTCAGTGTGATTATGTTGTGGGAATTGTCAACATTTATTGCAGTATAGAAAACAGATGCGAGTAGCTTCAAAAACAAGAGATCTCATACTAATTTCCATAAAAAAAATATTAACTACATCTTAATGCTGGATTATTTTTCCCAAGTAATTTTATTCTTTCAACAAACAACAGCACAAAGGCCACAAAACGATGTCTCGAGGGCCACGTGTCGAGTTGCACTGGATTAATGTTTAATAATAAACCTCATTTGCATGTTGAATATACATCTGTCATTGAATGCTGCTGTTGACTCATTTGCATAAAGGTCACATGACTGCCGACACAACATGGAGGCCTGAAATTGCATTATACTAATTATATTTGCACTTGCTGTGACCTCTAAACTACTACGCAATTAGTTTCTCTCTGTTTACCCCCTCAGGGACATCTTTCAAGTGGAAGATATTGCTTTGAACTACAGGGACCCTGAGGGCGATCTGATACGGATATTAGACGATGAAGACGTCACTCTCATGGTGCAAGAGAGCAAACAGACGGGGTCAAAGGTCAAGCGGCCCGTGAATCAGTTTCCCTGGGAGCTGTTGGTCACGCATGCCAAAGATCTGTCCGTCTACAACACCGAGTATTGAAACGAGCGAACGATGTTCCTCGTCATTTCCAAATCATTGCACAACGTTTCTTAGTTTATGGGGTTTTCAAATTGAAAACTATTTTTGGTTACTAAAAGGGATAGTTTACCCAATAATATTTAACAATTTTGTCGTATTTACTCATCCTTGAATCGTTTGTGACTTTTGAAGCAGAATCAGTTGATCCCGTCTGAATGATTCATTTATGAATCAGAATGATTCGGTTCACTGATTCACTGAATCACTGATCTGGTAACAACAGTTCAGAGATCACTGGAAGATAATCAGTGAATAATAACAACTTAATTGTCCAAAAAATTATTAAATGACTTCAGACCAGTGTTATTATTAATATACTATTATAGTTTATATACAGTTCATAGAGATTTTATTTTTCATATGATCTGTTTTCACTTTTTTTGTTGTTGTTGTTACAAGTGTTTGTAAAATTTCGGTAATTGTTTTTGTGTGTTTTTCTTTTACTGTTTTGCTTTTTTATATTTATTTTTATCTAATAGTTTGTTTATTTAGTTTTAGTTGTTTTAGTATTTCAATTTAAACTAAACAAAATAAGAAATGTAGCCTTGACAACTAAAAAAATAAATATTTGTGTTTTCTTGTATTTTATTTTATTATTTTGTTTTATTTTTAGTTTATTTAGCTTGAGTTGTTTTAGTTAAATCAAACAGACATAAGAAATGTTTGGCAACTGGCAACTAGCTGAAATTAAAAAGAAAGTTTTATTTTATCGTTTTATTTTATTTTTTTATTTCAAGTAACAAAAACATTTTTATGGTTTTAATTTTAGTTGTAATTAGCTATAATGACCATGTCTTAGATTACTAAGCATACAAGTCATATGTACATAAGTCATTTTTTGCTGCTTTTGTGTCCTTTTTGAAGCTTTAAACCCTCACTTTCTGTTTATTGTTGTTGACCAGCAGAAGGTGGATCTAAGGATGAGTAATTAATGACAAAATGTTCATTTCTGGCTGTTTAATTCTTTAACACAACCAGTATTTCACAGTGGAATCTGATGCTGAATATATTTTATAAATTTTCAGTGCTAATAAATACTGATTTTCTTCTGTATTTTCAGCAGTATTGGTGGTGTGACATTTCACTTTTTTTGTTTGGTGAAGTTTTTAGCCAACTTCTTCTTTCAGTTCCTTTCATTGCCGGAAAAAGTCTTGTGTGTCGCATCTTGACTTGTGTGACAATTATATATGTGTACATTTTATACTTTATTGTAAGCAGGGATTGGTGCTGATATCTATCACACGTATGCACATTTAATGCACATCTCACACACACACACACACACACACACACACACACA